TTTATGCATAGAATTGTTCTGCCACTAAGCTTTACATTTCTAACCCTTGCTTAATTGGTATGGTTTCTAGGCTGTCTCTGATCCTGTGCCCTTTATTAGCATTAGTTTCCTTCTTGTTTTACAAAAGCAAATCTACTGCCCATGTTGTCACATATTTTAGTAATAGGACTTGAGTAGTACCTGGAAAAGGCTTGTTCTCAGTGATTTTAAGATTGTAGCCACAGCGTCTTCAGTTAACTTATTTTCTTTGGGTCCTGTCTGAACTCAATGTCATTTGTAGTGATCAAAGTTATAACTTAGAAAAGCCCTCTAACAGGAGATTGAGGGAGCTGGGAATTATGATGGTGCCTTGGTGACAAAGCAGCTAGCATATTGTATGGGGGTACGTGCAGCTGTTTGCCTCACCTGGTCTGTGATCATGAAGCTTGCTTTAAGCTGTGTGATCATAGATTGGGAGTGGCGGGTGCAGCCATGCTGAGACTCCGCTGGGATAACTCGGTGAGGGGGGCGGTGCTAGCAGGTTTGCCGGGGGGGCGGGCGAGTTTGTGGGTCCATGCAGTGGATTGTCCATCTGGGAATGAGAGAGTCAGGGAGCTAAAAATAATTCAGTCTGAATTTTTTGGAGGGGGAGTAGGAAGAGCAGAGGCCTGGGGGCTGGGGCAAGAAACTGGGCTTTCCGAGCTCCAGGGCTGTGCTCCAAATATATACAGATATTCAACAGATCAGGCCTGCCATTTTTGGACAGATTTAAATCCCCCAAACACCTGCACAGATGGGCATTTAGATCAATCTGACCCTAGTTAGGTTGATCTAAATGTAACACCTCCATAAACCCTTAGTCGGTTAGAGTCAGACAGGGACAGCAGAGGGACCACACACACTGCTCCAGAATAAAACCCATTGTGTAGCTCTTCTTTTTCTTGTATACTTCTGTTTCTTGAATCCAGTGATTACTACATCATCAGTCAAACACTATTTGAATCAGCTCACCTAGTAGGTAATCCATTTAGGGGCCACAAAAGCAGCTGCTTGAGAATGGGGAAGAGAGGGACTTTCTGGGAGAAGTCTGGTCCCAGGGCTCAAGCTGTGCCTTTGGGCAAAGCAATGTTCTCAGACCCTCGGGTTCATATTTGTGAAAAAAGACTGGGTCAAGGACAACTTTTTTTTTCTCAGGGAACATATTTTGATATAATATGTGACAAAAATGGACTACCATGTTGGTCCTTTGCCATACAGTTTGGAGATTATGGCAACACAAAAGGTATTGGGAATGTTGAAAGGCAGAGTGAAACCAGCTCTTTTCAATGACACTTTAAGAAACCTCGTAAAGAGAGAAAAAACCTTCTACCAGATTGTAACAGATGATTATCAGGCCCCTGCACCAATTTTTGTCAGTGCTACATGCAATGAAATCTTAATTGCCTAAAGGAATAAACGCTAAAAGAACAGATTTACTATCAGTTAAGGAGACTTTTCCATTCTTGTATTTCCTAAAAGTAAAAGATAAATAGTCACATGAATTGTGCCAACAGCCAGAAAGCACATCTGTACCAGAGC